CAGATTTCATAAGCTTCGCTAATTGGATCGATCATGTATGCCATGATATGTACTAGGCCTGATGTATCGTACGCCTTAAGTGCTACGAGCCGATACCAATCAGACCCAAGAGAGGCGCATTGGACTGTGGCCAAGAATATCCTAAAGTACTTGAAAAGGAACAAGGATAAATTCCTGGTCTATGGTGGCCACAAAGATTTGGTTGTTGAAGGTTACACTGACGCTAGCTTTCAGACTGACAGAGACGACTTCAAGTCACAGTCAGGGTACATATTTTGCCAAAATGGAGGAGCGTTTAGTTGGAAGAGTGCTAAGCAAAGCACCACTGCAGATTCTACAACTGAAGCCGAATACTTGACAGCTTTGGAAGCAGCCAAGGAGGTAGTTTGGATTCGTAAGTTCGTCAGTGAACTTGGTGTTGTACCCTCCATCAAGGGTCCAATAGATCTCTATTGTGACAACAATGGAACTATTGCTCAGGCCAGAGAGCCAAGAGAGCACCAGAAGGTCAAACATGTCCAAAGGCAATTTCAAATGATAAGGGAATGGAAATCCGAAGGTGAAATCAGAATTTGTAAGATCGGAACGGATGACAATGTGGCCGATCCTTTGACTAAACCTCTACCTCAAGTGAAGCACAACAAGCACGTCGAGGCAATGGGAATCAAGCACGTCGGAGACTGGCTTTGAATTCCCTATACATGTGTTTTAATTAAACTAGATGTCTTAATGTAAAACACTATGTAGAAACCATTCATTTATGGACTAATTAATTTTTCATGCAAAATTACTATTCACTCCATTGCTATTTAATTATGGTTTAGAATTAAATAATGAGTCCGTTCGATCTATGAGAATATTCAAAACAGGGTATCAAAACCATGTCTTGGATAAAGAAACACCTGTTAAGTGAACATTGAATATTTAAATCAAAAATTATCCCTGATCGAGGTCATTTAACTGATGGACGATCAATGACAACCAGAGATTAGTGTGTAGTATGATTTACAGCACCGTTTCTTGTGCTGCAAGGACATAGTAGTCATAAATCATTTGCACAGGTGCCAGTTTGGAACTGCACCGGATCGACCTATGAGAGTACTTTAAGAGATTTAAGAACGACATAAGTACATTTCTCATTATAGCTATCAGAACCTGTTTCCTCAACCATGAGTATTGTGAAGCTCTCTTGTTTGAGTACTAGTCTCTTTGATGTTATCAAACATCCGCCGTAACTGGAGATTATAACGGGAACACTCGGGAGATTAAGCCCTCTTAGTAAGAGAGGCTTACAGTACAAGACTGGGAATATCCCCCTATTAACAATAGGGAATATGTCTTTGTTGTTTACAAGGCCGCTCGAAGAGCGAGACTGTGAAAATGCATGGTCGTGCTCAGATGGATGTTAGAAATCATCTGCTAATTGACAGTCGAACTCGGAGATCGAGAAACACTTCTGGACGTAATAAGGATGACGAAGATTCTTACTTTATAGTTCACGAAGAGACATTAAGCGACGTAGGAAATGGGCTATACATCCGGAAGGACAAGTGGGAAATTGAAAGGAATGGTGTCCTTCCAACAAGTGTATTATTCTGATAGAGGGTTCAGAATTATCAGGAAGCTAATTCTTCAGTGAGATCAAGTGATCGAAATGCCTGGGCGGAGGCCGCTTTCGATCTGTCATATTAGTGAACAATTAATATTACAACTTTGTCTTAACTGAACCCTTCGGGTCGAACCCAAACGAACTGCCGATCCGAACCGACGAATCAATCTGAAGGATTTGATGAGTCACTAGAGCATTAGGAACACAGACGTCGGATATCAAGCCTAAGGCGTCGAGACCGAGCGTCGCAAAATCAACAAGCAACAAGTTCCAGCAAAGTCGTAGCATCACATTGGCTTAGCCATGTGGCTGCTAGGCTAGCTCGAGCTAGCACCACCATCGCATAGCTAGGAGCTTGCGTGTGTGCGTGCTTCGCTAGCACTAGGCGCACAACACACCATCGCAGCACCATGAGTGCTTGCGTGTGTGCGTGCATCGCTAGCACTAGGCGCTGGCATGTGTGCGTGCATCGCTAGCACTAGGCGCTGGCATGTGTGCGTGCATCGCTAGCACTAGGCACACAGCATGCCTCGCGTTGCTAGGTGCTTGCGTGCGTGCCTTTGCATGGCAACAGCAAGCAGCAGCAGCGAGCTAGGTGCTTGCGTGTGCGTGCCTTCGCATGGCAGCACCAAGCAGCAAGCAGCGAGCAGCGAGCTTGACGCCTAGCCCAGCACCAGCAGCCCAGCGCCTAGCTGCTGTGCGCCCAACTGCGTGCATGGCTCGCTAGCAGCACGCATGTGCTGGGGCGTGCTAGCAAGGGCTGGCTAGCTTTGCTAGCTGGCCAGCAAGGCAGGCTGCCAGCCCAGCCTTATGCTTGATGCCGGTTTAGGAGGAGTGGGGACCAATGCTTGGAGCAAAGCCTTGGGGAACAAGGCAATGGTCCCCCCCTTTGGTTATGGTCCTCACCTAACCTCTCCTCTCCTCATGCCACTTGTTGATTGTTGATTGCATTGTTTTATAATTTATTTTTGATTTAAATAAATTAGATGAAAAATGCAACTATCCGACATTGATCATGAATGGGAAGAGCAAGTTGCATTTCCCTATAAATACCCTATGATTGAGCATTAGGAAATCAACTTGAGTGGAACTCAAAAAGGCATCTCTTATTATTGAGAAAACCTTTAAGTTCGTAAAACTCTAGTTTTATACTTAGTCAAGTCTCGACTAACCCTGGAGATGAAGATCGTTCGGGTCGGTCATGGGCACGAGCCGTTGGAGGCCGTCACGCTTGTGAGGCTATAAGCTTCGAAGTAAGAGCTCGGTTTACGAGCGAAACACGCTTCAAGGGTATTACTTCTTTATCCCTTTTCTTAATTATTGTTTAATTATGTTTATGCATGCTTTATTGCTTTAATTATTGGGGCGGATCTTGGGCGGGTTTCTCTTCCGCGTAGCGTTGGACGCTACGAAACCCAACACTCTCCCCACAAACAGCGCCAAATGTTTCGGGGTTTTTTGATGTCCTACGGGAGAGTTACAATTCCATGACCGACCTCTGGACACAAGTACCTGCAAAACAACGGAGACTCCGGTGGGTGGGAGTTCCGCCTCCGACGATCAAGTTAGAACGTGTTTGAGGAGTAAAGTGCGGAAAGTAAAGGGTCTCTCTTGTATTCCAAGAGAGTGTCTGCAATGTGTAATTGCTCAGTTCGAGGTGTCAGGTGTCTGAATTTCTCTGATGGAGAGTTAATTTGAATTAAATGTTTCTGAATGATGTTCCTCAGAGGGAAACATCTCCCTTTTATAGGGTGTTGGAAAACGTGCCCAATACTAGGTTTCAGTAAACCTAGGACTGAATCGGCTTTGCCTAGGAATTTGGACCGTAAGAGGCCAGTTTCCTAGTTGGTTATCTGTCTGCCACGTGTTGTGGCCTGATTGGTCCACCTTGGACCTCTCACGAGATGACACGTGGCGGACTCTGGTTGGTCCACATGGATGACAGGTGGCAGGGCTTGAGTGGTCCACGTGGCGTGGAAAAATCCCCTAATCAAGATCCATTTATAATATATATAATCTCAAACTTTTATATGTAGCAGGTCACACCTTGTAGCCAACTATTTTATGGGTTACTTCGTTAATTAGTGTTATAGGGGTTACTTAGTCAGTGTTATAGGGGTTACTTGGTTAGTGTTACAGATAAGGGTTACTCAGTCAGTGTTAGGGGTTACTCGGTTAGTATTATAGGGGTTACTCTATCAGTTTTATAGGGGTTACTTTGTCCGGCCACATGGTGTGGCAAGCCGCATACAAAATGCGTTGATATTTAATTTATTTTAAAAAATAATAGATAATCAATAAAAAAAAATAAGTTTACTCGGTAAAAATAATTTTAGTTTGGTAAAAATACTTTCAGTTCAGTGAAAATAATTTAAGTTCAATAAAAGTAATTTCAAGTCAATAATAACATAGATATTTAATTACAATAACTTAAGTTCAATAAAAGTAATTTCAAGTCAATAATAACATAGATATCATATGATTCATATTGTATATAAATATAAGCAATATGAATCATATGATATCGTATGTCTAAATATTATGTATTATCAAAACGGATTATATGACCGTATTTAATATTCAAGTAAAAATGTTTATCCTAAAATTTTATCAACCGGCCATTAGGGCATCGCCCGAACACAAATCTAGTAATGTTAATAAAAGAACTTTAAATTTATATGTAACAACTTAAACTATATCTTAGTAAAAGAGTTGCACCAAAAAAAATATCTAGGTAAAAGAGTGAATTAGTGTCTTGAAGTGGTCTAAGAAAAAGAGTAAGAAATCATTTTATCAATTATATCATCCGTCCAAAATTAAGAACCTATATCTATCTAAAGGTTGTACTTTTTGACAATATTATTCTCGTTTTGATGATTTGTCATCTTTTTTTTTCTTTTTTGTACTTTTGACATCAATTCCTAATACTTTTTCTCTCCCTCTCTCATCAATAATTCTCAACCATTTTTTCTTTCTTTCTATCTCTCTCGAACCCCACATGCATATTTGTACTTCCAATTATTAGTTATAAGGAATCTACAGCTTCCTTAATTTCCGTAAAAAAACCCAAATAGGCTCTTAATTAAAGGACGGAGGGAGTAACTAAAAACAAGAATAAACAAATATCTAGTGTAATTAGTCCACAAATTTAGCACATATATCTATTATTCCAAAATATCAATAATAACATAAAACACTTGCTTGGTAGAAAAAAACAAAGGAAAATATAATCGTTGGGACTTGGGATTAATCACATTTGATAAAGTACTTAACCCAGTATTTAAATTTAAATTTATTTTTCAATTTCTTATCACATGTTAAAATTTACAAATTACATGTTGATTTAAATACTTTGTAGGAAATTTGTTATGAAGTAAATCCTAATCAGTATTTAACGCACAATAATATTATCAAGGACTCAAGCTTCATTCATTTTTCCATGAAAAACAGAGAAAGGTTTATTCATATAATATAGATTCCTAAATAAAAGAAATTGCCAACATACATTTTAAAAGAAAAATCCTCCTTAAAACTCTCTTTTCCTTTCATTTCTAACCAACAAAAGATATCAAAAAAGAAATTTGCAAACAATAAAAATGTCCAAAGATAGGAAAAATGATGATATACCACCTTTTTATTAGCAAAAATCATCGGAGCCAACTCATAATCTTTTTTTTTTTTTTTCAATTTTCTTAGTGAGATCTTTGCTATACTAGGTTAACAAGGGAGAGATGGTAGAAAGAAAATGAGAAGAAAAAAAAAAAAAAAAAAAAAAAAAAAAACAAACACCAAAAGAAAAAAAAAAAATCTAAATTGTTCCCACAAATTAAGCAAAATAAGTCACAATTTAGATTTCCCTTTTTGGCGTACAGGAAAAATCAAAATCATAAAGATAAATAAAAGTTGATTAGCCAATTTTTCCTGTACGCCCCTCTTGTTAACATTTGTTCCTCAATCAAGGTGTGCAACCATGCATTTTGGTTGCCACTTAAAGATTTTCATCATCATTGATGTTCTCCTCCTCTTGAACGTCACGAAACCATCCTTTTCCGACGACTCAAACGCAGCGATTGCCATAGATTGTGGAGCAACTAGTCAAGGTAAAGATGGGGATGGAAGGAATTGGGATATAGATACAAAGTACCTTTCTTCTCAAGGAAATTCTCAAACAATTAAAGCATCTTTTCAAGATCCTTCTCTTCCATCTGAGATTCCTTATATGACTGCTCGGGTAAGTAACTCTGATATGTCATATAAGTTTCCTATCAATTCAACCTCAAGATATTTTTTACGTCTACATTTCTACCCAACATCCTACAGCTCTTTCAACATTAGCAACTCGTATTTTTCCGTGATTGCGGCCGATTTTACCCTTCTAAGCAATTTTAGCGCTGCTGTAACTGCGGAGGCCTTAACCCAGGCTTATATAATTAAGGAGTATTCTCTTGCTCCTTTGGATGGGGTTGATTCTTTAGAGCTCGTATTCAAGCCATCGAACAAGCATGCTGGATCATTTACATTTATAAATGGCATAGAGTTGGTTCCTACCCCAAACCTATTGGATTCGGCAAATTTGTTGGGATTCTCTGACCAATCTTTAGATGGAAAGACTGCAACAACCGAGACAATAGCAAGGTTAAATGTAGGTGGAAACTATATTCCTCCCACCAATGATTCTGGTTTACTACGAACATGGTACGACGACACCCCTTATATATTAGGGGCTGCGGCTGGTGTTACATCCTCGGACAATGACACGAAAGGAGTGCACTACAAAGACATGCCAAGATATATTGCGCCAAGTGATGTTTATAATACTTGGAGGTCAATGGGGCCTGACCCAAATATTACTCTTAATTACAATTTAACATGGTCATTTTCCGTTGATCCAACCTTCACATACATTATAAGATTACACTTTTGCGAGCACATATATTCCAAGGTGAATCAAAGGTCGTTCAATATATTCATTTACAACCAAACAGCAACACCTAGTGGTGCTGATGTGATAGCGTGGACTGGATCGAAGGATGTCCCCATCTATAAGGATTATGCAGTGAGTGTTCAAGATGGAAAAGGACAACAAGAACTTTTGGTAGCTCTTCATCCAAGGGACGGTGCAGATAAGCCGGAATTTTATGATGCCATCCTTAATGGGTTAGAGATGTTTAAGGTAAATGATGGAAATAAGAATTTGGCCGGACCTAATCCAGCCCCATCTGAGGCATTAGTTAAGGCTGAGAAAGAAAAAAGGGAAAATTTTACAAAAGATAAGCCTAACATCAATGTCATTGGGGCAGCAAGTGGAGTCGCAGCTGCATTTGGGTTAGCAACAGTTCTTGCGGTTGTGCTGTATAAGAAGAAGAGCAAGATGCCAAGATTGAAATCAGGAACATCTAGTTGGTTGCCTATCTATGGTAATTCTCATACATCAGGCATGAAGTCAACAATTGGAGGAAGTAGTGTGGCAAGTGCACAACTATCGACTGAGGCAACTACCAATTGTCGTCACTTCACTTTGGCAGAGATAAGAAAAGCGACTAAAAACTTTGACGAATCACATGTGATTGGGGTTGGAGGTTTTGGCAAGGTATACAAGGGGGTGATTGATGGGAGCTTTAAAGTTGCCATCAAGAAGTCAAACCCATCATCGGAGCAAGGAGTTCATGAGTTTGTTACAGAGATTGAGATGCTTTCGAAACTTAGGCATAAGCATCTAGTCTCTCTTATCGGCTACTGTGAAGAAGATGGAGAGATGGCTTTGGTGTATGACTTCATGGCACATGGTACTTTAAGAGAGCATTTGTACAAGGGCAATAAGATCAATCTTACTTGGAAGCAAAGACTAGAGATGTTAATAGGCGCCGCTAAAGGTTTGCATTATCTTCACACTGGAGCAAAATACACCATCATTCATAGAGATGTCAAGACAACTAACATCTTATTGGATGAGAACTGGGTAGCCAAGATTTCAGATTTTGGGTTATCAAAAACAGGCCCTGAAACAAACCAAAACCATGTAAGTACAGTGGTGAAAGGTAGTTTTGGATACTTAGACCCAGAATACTTCAGAAGACAACAACTAACAGAAAAATCAGATGTATACTCATTTGGAGTTGTGCTTTTCGAGATTTTGTGTGCCCGCCCTGCTCTTAACCCAAGCCTTCCAAAAGAGCAAGTTAGTTTGGCAGATTGGGCACGAAGCTCGGTTAGAAAAGGAAACATAGATGAAATCATTGATCCTCACATTAAGGGAACGATTAAACCCGAATGCTTAAAGAAATTTGTAGACACAGCTTTTAAGTGTCTATCTGATCATGGCATTGATCGCCCTTCAATGAGTGACTTACTATGGAATCTCGAATTTTCTCTTCAGCTTCAAGAAAGTGGTGACGCTTCTAAAGCTACTTCAAATAACGTGAGAAACAACCAAAATGATAACATAAACATGCACTTGAACACTCTAAATTTAGAGGAGGATGATCAATTTTCGGCCGCAACATCATCATCATCTAATGAGCAAAACTCAAGCACTGCAATCTTTTCACAAATTGTCCACCAAACAGGTCGATGAGCTACTACAATACGACTATATCTTCTATTAGAGACATTCATGAGAATCATTGGAACTATTTACGCTTGAGATAATGTCAATTTATAAATATGTTTTTTTTCACAGGGAGTGATTATTAGTCACGCACGTTTCTTTATATTTTTTGAGTTTTTTAAATTCTTCAAATTAGTTTTTTTTCCTTTTTTTTTTTTTTTTTGACTTTGTATTTATCATCTATTTACGATTAAAAAGAATGACATTATTTTCATCAATTGATATGATTTTTTGTTTGTAATGGCACATGATAATGATTATTATCGATAGATAAATAAAATATTGTAATTGAACCTTACATTACTGACCTTTTCCTCTCATCTTCCACAAACACTTTCACTGCATAGAGATACACATTTATGGAACTGAGCCTCTCTACTACATTTGTCATCCCAACTCAAGTAGTCTCTTTACATTCTCAATCAGAAATTCAAACTCGATCCTCGCTTCACACGCTGGATTACCTTTCAATCTCCATAACCATTAAGTCCTAATTTTTTATTGATCTTCATCACAAAACTAAATGCAGAAATAATACATCAAATGAAAGTTAGCTATCATTCTTAACTAATTTTATATTGTTTGCAAGCTTATGAAGTTATGAGTGTATTCTAAAAATAGTGAGATATTGATATCAACAATTAGAATCTAAATAGGCAAAGTAGCATCTCATTAATATGACGGGATCTTGAAGAGTGTTAGCTCATAACACCTGTACAGAGTTAGAACTGTGTATAACTTCAAGTACTACATATTACATTTGGGTTCGAGGTTAATATTACATGCGTTCATTTTGTGCACATTTTTCCTGTATTTATTTACTCAACTGATCAGAAAATGCCTACATTATCAGTATATAAGCTAATATACTCAGTTGCCCTTAATTTCTTTCACTTCCTACAAGGGCTACAACTTTACACTTTTCACGGGAAAAATACAAAAGGAAAATAAGTTAAAAGACTAGCATGTATACCTCAAGCGAGATCAAATATAATTCTTCTGCATGATGAAGCTAAATTGTACACAGCTATTTGAGACCATAAATTAGTTCTGAATAGAAACTATGTGAAACTTATCAGGCACTTTCAATGATCAGCTCAGCAGCAGCACCCATTGCATTTATACCACTAACACCCACCAAAGCGACAGCCAATTCTTCTTCATTCCACAGCCTCAAACCCTTGCTCAAGCTCTTCAAAATATGCACGTCGATTTCCTGCAACCATGCAGGGATGCACCTCACCAACAAACCCAAAAATCCTGACACATAAGCCCTCCAAGTGGCCAAATCACATCCAAGGGAAATCTTTCCTTCAAGAGCAGTAGCCATAAATTCGAGGTGGGAAGCAAGGACCTTGGATCTCAATTTTGAGGCTGATGATGCTGCATCAACGCCCCAGGCAAATAGCCCACAAAGAACTGCAAAGTAAGCCAGTGCATAACCACTTAATGTTGCAACAACACCCCCTGATTCTCCAATGCCAACTGTCCTCTGGGTTGATATAAACCATGAGGGTAACATTTCTTTAAGCAAAGTTTGCAGTAGATTTATTCCCCCAGATATCCAGACAAAGGAAGCCCCAACTGAAGCAGCAAGCTTGACACGTGACATAGCAGAAGTGAGAGAAACCTGTCTGTATCTCATTCCGAATTTACATTTCCTTAATTTTCCTATAGTATCATTGGATAAACCACCAGTCGCAATACCTTTCACTGACATCATCAGAAGAGAGAGAATTTCTTCTGCCACAAAAGTGATGTTCCTGATGAACGGAGACACACGTAGGTAAAAGATACCAGGAGCAACAGGGGACATCCCATTGGAATAACCGGAACCAAATCCATGGCCAAGGAGAGCACCCACACCTCCATTTCGACATCTAGGGGATGCATTAAACCCCAAGACTGAAGAAAAACAGCTTCTCAGAAGCTGCACCACAGCATCATTGTTGAGGTTGAAGACAGCACGTGAGGCAGAATGGATAAGGAAGTCACTCCAGCGCTTGGCCTTTTGAGCCCAGAGAGCTGCTACAATAGGCATGCAAGGCCAAGGACAGCAAGCTGCAAGTACGACCACTCCCCTACCAACCAAGTTCAAATAACGTTCATTGGCTTTATCAATTTTGTAAGTTATGGTGAGGCTCAGTAGTGCAGCTAATGGTAGAGGAAGCGTAGGAATAGAGTTACCCACTGCACAAGCAACACAAAATCAGCAGAGTGCGTAAATAATGGTTGCCAGTGAAATAAGTATCTGAGCAGTTAAAGAAGAACAGATTCAAAAGTAATAACTAGGAAATTTAGGGATAGGTTACTTGCCTTTCAGATAAGAAAGAAAGGATATATATATATGACGACATTTTACTAATAACCCTAATTTATTTTCAAATTCCAGTTATTTATGTACTAAATGCACAATTATTTATTTTTTCCACAATCCCAAAGCATATTAAATGCACAGGTTTCCACTGTCCCAAAGTGTTTTTGCTGCAATTTTTATCATCTAGATTTTTTAAGTGGAATCTCTTTAGTTTTGTTTATTATAATGATATGAGGAATATCGTCCTCTTTTAAAGCTTTTAATGATTTCTCCCAATTCCTAATAGGAAGAGCAAAAGTATGAGGAGTACTTCCTTAGTTTCTTTTATTCGCAATGATTAGGAAAATTTGATAAAATATACCTTTTACATATTACTTTTTTGCAAGAAACAACCTTATAAATTTTTTATATTATCCTCAGAGGCTCAAACTTAATCTGCCATTTTGCAATGCACCAAGAAAATGTCAACATAGAGTCCATCCAAATTCCTATATTGTACCACATTGGCAAATAAGACAGAAGTGAGGAACTGGGTTCTAGAATATATTACCAAGGCATTAAGGTGGGTCACCAAACACTAAAGAGAATTCTCAAACCCAGGTCCCAAGGTTAAGATCTATTCTTACTTGGAAATCTATGCAAGTGCCAACATTTTACAAAAAGAACTTTCCTGACTATTTCCTATCTAGGCAAGCAGCATCTAGGTCATAAAATTACCTTCATGCTGTACTTATTTACAAAATGTGTTGATTTATGGGAAGAAATCCGTCTAAGTACTCACACAGTTTCTATGGTGTCAACTCCCCCACTCAAGATTGTCAGTGAGTCATCAAGTTGGAGCTAGGAGAAGCGCAAAAAGGTATGAACTATGAGATTGTCTTCTATTGGATAAAGACAAGAAAAACAAGGTATCAGGCAGCATAATCACACATTCACACCACTCATTATTCATAGACAATTCTACTAATTTCAAGTCATTGGATTGTGGAATGCCTGGAGGGTGGCTAAAGAAAAACAAAGAAAGAAAGGTAGTATTACTAATAAAGAGTGAGAAGCAAGCAAATATATTACTCTTAGTCTTTATTATGGACACAGAAACTAAGTTCACCAGAGAAACATGGGAGATTCAAGAAAGGATACCTGTAGCAAGACTGGGAACATCAATGCCGGTGGTAGCCAAAACTTTATGTATTTGTTGTTCGACCATGGATAAATTAGCCGCAGGACTTGGCCAATCAGTTCCATTCATAGAAACTGGCTTCCAAACTCCCCTAGTTACTTCAGCAGTGAAGTAGCTCAATATGCTTGCCAAAGACGCTGGAAGAAAGTCTGCAAGATCCTTGAGCCCTATAATCCAAAATTAGCTTCTTCAGTAGCCATAACATTTAAAAGTTAAAATCCTCAAATATACCAAAATTCAAGACCGGATTTAAAAGCATGCAATACCAAACCAAAAATGACAGCATAGACACCAATTAAAAACGATAATGTTTGATAGGAAACTATGTCGACAATTGCCAGCCCACAGAGCCAAATATAGAAAATTAATTAATGGCCATGTTATGTCAATAAAACTCTTCTTCTGAGATAAGATATGCCATCACAGTTTTTTCCAACTTTTGCTGCTGAAAGATATCTGTTGCAGCCTTTTACTGCTGTACACTGTCAGCTGTTATGATCCATTGCTAATATTCAGACACATACAAACGTCTAAATCTTCTTCAATTTTCTTAAATCGAAAACTTTTAGAAGGCATATTTCCTTTTAACAGCTTTGCAAACTATTGCAACACTTATCTAGTTTTCAGATGAGAAAAGGTTTTACTATCTGAAAATATATATCCCCGAAATCTGGCATCAGACCAATTTCACCCGAAGTGAGAATAACTAGTTATATAAAAAGAATGACATAAACAGAAACAAGCATTCCCAAGCTTAGTCTCACCATCTGAGTTCTGATCATAACAAACAGTTGAGGTAAAGTGCAAGTATGCAACTCAAAATAAGGGTGAGAAGCTGAGAAACCTCAAGGCACTAGCTTAGACTCATGATGATAACTAGCTTAAGACACAGCTTATGGTGGGACATTTCTTTTAATCTGTCCATCCCATCCCAAAAAGATTGGCCCATTTACTTTGTTGTTTGTCCCAACAAGATTGTCCCATTTCCTTATTTTATAACAAGGCCTCCACAATCTTTCTCCACTTTTTTTCTCTAACCCACATGGCCACATGCAAAGTGACAAAACTACCTCAGTCAATAATAGGTGTGGAAGGGTTAGGTTTTGAGCTAATCAGGTAAGTCTATTGCGTTCAGGGAGAGTTTTCAATGTCTGCAGGTAATGGAACAACAGCCTCAAATGGTCAAAATTATCTCCTTGACCATTCCCCAATGCCCTTTGAGTTCATCACATTAGCAGCCACAATTTTCCAAGACCCCAACGGCAAGTGCTAAAGTCAGCCAAAAGGAGGGAGGATTTAAATAAGAGGAGCCAAATGCAGCAAGTAAATGACACATTTTCATCCCTCCTTCCAAACTAAACAATAATCTTATTTTTAACCCACTACCCCCCACCCTTCATATCACTCCACCACCCACAACAGTATTCCCCTTTCCATCAATCTCCTTTAAGAAATTAAACATGTTTGTTTCATTATCACAAACGGATTTGATATTTTCTCTCCAAGAACCTTGTTATAACACATCTCAGCGAAAACCACATCCTTCTGGTCTCATTGTTATGAAACATTGACTCGCTGTGTTTCAACATTTGTTCTCTGTTACATCCGTTCTTTATTCGAAATTGGCTCTCCGCGTCAAGTGAGCAGAGAAAGGTCATAAAAAGGAGGAAAAAACATTAACTTAGCAGATAAGCTGCATTCCCACAACCAAAGAAGAGAAGAACATGTCGCAAGGGGCTTTCATGTTGGTATAGCAGTGTATAACAAGGCATTGATTTCATTTCCTAACTTGATTGCACTAACGAGTAGAAACAGCTAGTTATAGTTGATAAATCACAGCCACAGTGCTTCATAGAAGAGTTGTAGACTTGTAGTGTTGTAGGTATGCCTAGAAGTCTAGAAAATCATAGAAATGTATGAATATAATATGAATCTTTCATACACCTTAGAGTTCAAGAAATACTTTACTACTTTATTCAACATGTAAATCTCAAAAATTAAATCCCTCTGTGGCTCAGTCCCTGTTTAGTTGACACACTTTGACCAACACAAAGTTTTAAGCAAATTTATCC